AAGGTGCAGATATAGTGCAAACATTTCTAATAAAAAATAAAGCCATTATGAATGTCTTTGATAAACATTAGATTCTCAGAGGTTTGTATTTAAACCCAGAACTTTCTGAATGACAACATGACTGGTAAACTTACTGACATCTTAAAACAAGACTTTATGTCCTTTACACAGCATGCACCTTGGGTGGCAAGAGCTAGAGAAAAAGCCCTGGTACAGCATCTTAAAAGATACCACCTATCAATTCAAAGCTGGAAGTTTCAAAACCTGCAGTGGAAAAAACCCCAAAATACTTGAATGAGAAACTAAAGAATGCACTCTTCCTGCAACCTAAGGACAAAATCTACTAAGACTAAACAGAACATGCATTTTCTACTCCAGCGCATTAAAGAAGACTTCTGGTTGTATAACAGAATAGAAAACCAGATCTTCTGGAGTTGATTTTCAAAAGCAAAAGCAGTAAATCGAGTGCACAAAGTCATTATTTTAAATTTGATTACATATCAGAACACAACCTGCATGTTTAGCACTCCCCATCTTTAGAAACAAGCCCTACTAACTTCTTCACAATTGCATCTATTCAAGACTTTCTTTAGACTAAAGCTGTAATATTTCAACACCAAGCTATGTTTTAAGACAAACTTCATGGCATGCACTTAACCAGGCAGAGCTACTTGCAAAACATACAGAACCAGGGCTCTTACACAAATATTCCTAGTGCCTGTATTAACACTTGAACACCACTTGTTATTTTTGCATGAATACTTTATAAACTCACCATTTTCCTTCCAACAACAAATTTTAAAGAGAGGCAAATACACATTTATTTACAAATTCTTTACAAATAAAACTTGTGTAGCATATAAACAAAGTCAAACATTTTAGAAACAAACACTAAGCATACGAACCTTGAAGAGGGAAGGGGAGGAAAGGGACATTAACAGAAAAAGTAACTGTTTAGAGCTGGAAATTATGCCCGAATTCTCTCTCAGAATAAGTCATTAACCCTCAAAAAGGTTAGACACAGAACTCTTCATTTCTCCAAGCAACACAGATACCCATCTACAAAGGGACGTATCAGTTGTCTATGTATTTACTAGGGAGGGTACAAGGGAACAGAATTTGAACTTGTGTTACTGAGCTTTTGTCTCTTACCTTTTCATTTTGCAAAAGACCACATTCTCTATAAACAAAAGAATATGTTGACAGTTTTAGGCAGGAAGAAGGAGTTTATTCATGAATAAAGTTGCCTAACCTCCATGCTGAAAGTCATGTTTAAACAATACTGTTAGCCTTAATTAATTGTCAATTAAAGTTAAATATTACCAAAAAAAATTAACTGAAAGTCATGCATATAAAAATAATTCTCATGCAACATTAGTTTCATGCAAAAGGTGATCTATAAGTAGACCTGTTTTCATTAAGTAGCTTGGGAATCAAGACTGGTTTATCTCAGAACTGAACAAAGACTCTGCAAAGACATATTTCCTCTTACCTTTAAAATAGCCACCATAAATTGATTCACCTCCTTTTCCATTACCTACACATTAAAAAGCATGAATTAAACCTTTTGTTACATTTATGAAAAGTTGTATGTAACATTCCACCAGTTTATACCAGACCAGGATACTCTGTCCAGTTACCAGTTTCTAAGCATTAACCTCCTGAACTAGAAGTCAGAGCTGTGCATTATCCTGTTGACAGTCAAGATATTGAGCATGAAGACTGTCCCAGTGCCTCTGAACACTGGAGACCCTGACACAGGGCTCCAAAGGCTAATTAATCCTCACTGGTATTTGTTGCTAAAGCAGCAGCCAACAGCTAAAAACAGCATGCTAAAAAAGGACAACACTAGGTATGACCAACAATTCTGCCTGGCTCAAAGCAGCTGAGGACACACTAGAATGGGTAAGATAAGATATTCACTAACAGTTTTCAAGGCATCCTTACTGCTGCTCAATTCTAAAAACAAGGCATTTCTTCACTGTGCTCATTTTATCAAGTACAAGGTTTCAGGACAGAGTGCAGATAACACTTTGGTAAGGTCAGGTATTTCAGGAAAGCACAACAGGCAAAAACATTACATTGTACACACACTGCAGGGAGGGAAACAAAATCCTGGGAAAATCCTGTTATTGGACAACTTGCCCATTAAACACTTCTACCTCATTCAGTTAAGTCCCTGTATCAATAGAGCATTACTTAGTGTTGCCTCTACTGCTGACACAAAAGTGAAGCTACATTTTGGATTTGAATGCTGTATTAACAAGAGAGGTGGTAACTCCAGCAAGGGTTTTCCTTACTTTTTTTCCTTCTTTAACTTCATAGATTTTCTAAATAAGTATTATTTCAGTTGAAATATTTCAGAATTCCAAAGATTAACAAGGAAATGGGTAATCTATGTTATATTTCACAGCAAATGAAATATTTTCATTGTAATGTTCATTGAAATATTCACTCACTGAAATGCTTCCATGGCATTTTCTGAAGTTAGATTATAACTATATGTTACAATATTTCTGTTCTGTATTTACCTTCGCTGAAGTCCCCACCCTGAATCATGAAGTTTTTAACCACACGATGGAATGTGGTGCCTTTGTAACACAGCTTCTTTCCAGTTGTTTTCCCAATTCCTTTTTCACCTGCAAGAAGGTTAAATGAAAAGAATCTACAGGTTGTCAATGAACAAATTCCAAGGGTTTTAGCTCCCTAATATGAATTGATATAAGCCTTGAGAATAGCACAATTATAAAACATAACACAGTCCTACCTGTTGCCTTTACACTGCCCTTTAATAGCAGAAGAGACCCATTAATCAGGAAACACTAAAGTGAAAATCAGATTTATTCTTTAATAATAAGTACATTCCTTGGAAAGGGAGGACATTTTTTAACAGTTCACTCAGAACAATTTAGAAGAAAACAGAAGTTGATGATAACAATGGGTTAACTATTGTCTGTGGTTATGGCTACACTGCTATGGCAGCTGAAGCTCACACAGAGTCCTTTTCAGACCATTTATACATCTGGATGTGCCAGCTGGATTCCAGGATAGAAATTTGAGCTCAGAACAGGCTTCGACTCAGCTTCAATGTGATTCACTCCTGGAAAAGTATGATTTAGCTAGTCCAAATATAAATCACAATTTCAGCAATTCAAACCCAGTGCAAGGCCACCCCTTAATAACAACCTGCCTGTATTAGTACGAAACTTGCACCAAACAGACTGATTTCTGAAAAGACTGACAGAACAGGGGAATAAAAGCGTGTATTCAAGAACCGTGCCAGGATGAGCTGAACTAGAATTGTAACTAGGGAAAAAAAAATATTAAAATCCCCAAACCTGCACTGGTAGCAGGCCCATCCCAGCAGCAGAAGCCAAGCCAGACCACAGGACCTGTTAATCCTTTCTGAGCCTGAGATTTCCTAGGAAGTGGCACTCAGTGGACTCCTGGTGCAGCTTGTAGTTCAAGCCTACTGGTGATTTTTGAGAAAGACATCCCAGAACCCTCAAGCTTCACTAACATTTCTTCCAAAATCCAGAAGAAAAACTGCATTGGGCATGTGAATGAGGGTTCTTATGACTGGAAGGGGAGTGATTTCTACTGGTCCACTTAGTGAACATCCAAAAGGCACTGACTTTAGCTTTCAAGAGGGGAGCTGACAGAACACAGCCATTAAGAGCAACAGCTAAAATCCTACCTAAACCACATGTGCAGGAGATACTCTGTGGTAAGACAACAAATAACTCAGCATTCTGCTTCATCCCACCACTAGTTGGGGAACAGGCATTTGACTCTCAGAGGGCATTTAACCAGTATGTTCTGTTCCATGTAGTGTCCTCAGATATGTATGTGTTCTTGCTGCTCAGAGCCTTTGGCCATCTATTGTTCCTCCACCCAAAATTAACTGATGGCCACATTGCTCCAGGATGAGGGCAAAAAGCAGTTTGTGGCAAAAAGCAGTTTGTGGCACAAAAACCCCTCATGGCATTACTATTTATTTTATTTGTAGAAGCCTTTCCTCAGAGAATACAACTTATTTTCCAGTGCTCTGGATCTCCATACCCAAAATCCATGCCACCTCCTAGCCCATTTTTATTTCCACAGAAGTTAAAAAAGTTTTTTTCTTACAGGGATGCACATACCCCCTTTCCTCCCAAAACATGCCCCTCTCTGCTACCACACTGCAAAGGCCACAGCAGTCAATGCCAAGGAGTATCTGCCTGTATGTCTGGTCTTGTTTCAGCATGTCCCTCGGGCTATGGATAATCCCCCTATAGACTGGGATCCTGCACTGCACTTGACCACATAAAAGAGCTGGTACATCAAGATAAGTTTTAGATCATGTCCAGACACTACAGTTCCTTTTTTTACTCTCCTTTACAGCATCACCAAGACAGCACAGTCCCTATCATAATAAGTGGCAATACTTGTGATGTTCCCTTCTTTGCTTGTACAATACAACTGTGGGCAAAATCATAACTCAACTACATCCTCATAAGCCAAAGACACTTTGAACAATGCACTTAAGCTGCCAGCCAAAATGTTGGGAGGGCTAAATTCCTGCAAAAGCTGTGCTATGTCACTCTGATTTTCAAAACTAATCCTCAAAGTCCCAGTCAGACAAAAGAGAGACCAGTTTTCCCACTGATCAGAGCTGCAGCACCTCCCTTAGGTAAGATTCTGCAACAGCTAGTACAAAGTGGGCTGGGCTTCTTTTTTTGTCTGTGGCCAAACACTACCCTTATTCTTTTTGCCCTAAATATGCCTGAATTTTGTCTGAAAAAGAAAAATCAGTGCCTTTGAGCCCCATCTGCTTGCACCTTTCTGCCTAAGCAGTTGTCTCCATCTGCTGCAAATCACTTGGAAATGGGATTTTGGAGGAGAGCTCCCACACTGCTGGGGACAAGCCATTAACTGAGGAGCCATTAGCTCCCTTTGGCAGCTAAACTGTGCTCTCGTACCCTCCTAACACCCTGCACTGCCAACCTAATCTGAGATATTTTGATTTAGGAGTCCAATATTGGTCTCTATTTCAGATGATGAGGAGGGAAGTTCCTGACAAAGTGCCAGAGAGCAGAAGGTCTTGTGCTTAATCAATAGATGGACAGACTGAAGGATCTGCAAATGCCAGTTTGCAAGTCCAGATGTTTTAATTTAAATGCAAGGAGCCTCCCAATGTCCAGACAGAGAGAGTTCTTCCACGGTATGCAGGTCTATTTCTGACAACAATGTCAAGCTGCAGGAAGGCAGCCAGAATCACCCTGTCCTCCCCCACCTGTTTCTGACAAAAACATCCTGGCATGTCCCACTGAGATTATGGAGAGAGCAGCAGGCACCACGAGCGGCACAGCATTTCAACCACTGGTCACCTTGCCTTGAGACAAGTGAATCCACACTTCACATTGAAAGAATGGAAGCACACAGCCCAAATCAAGCGCTCTGAGGTCTGTAACAGTGTAAGTCAGGACACACGCTCCTCTAACAGCTACAATGCAGGTGGGTATCCATATGTGTCTAAAAAAAACCCAACCCAGACATGATGGATTACCCTAAAATGCAGAATCCTGAATTTCTGTAGTATAGAACCATACAATGCTCACAATATGCTGCTAAAATATTCCACGATGTAGATGATACAGTCCAGAATGGGACAGCATTCCCTCTCTGTTATCCACCTCCTTAGGTGCATGAAGACCTTACATATGGCTACAGAAAGATGTCAGTGCCAGAAAGTGATGCTGCACTGAGCAAACCTCCAGTGACTCAAAGATAAGGATGAAAGATACACCTGATAGGAACTCACACTTCTATGGTGACTTAAGTTCTACCAATGGATTTTGCTGTGAAAAGTGGCAGGAGTCAGAGGAACCCAGCACTTCTGGAAGCAAATGACTTGTTTGGTGTCAAAAGATGCAGAGCAGCTCACAACTCTAAAATTTTCAAACAGCCCTTCACATCTCTGCTGTGGTTGCCAGAGGTCAATGCATCCACTATACCTTCATGTCCCATCACAAAACTGCTGCCCTTCTGAAGATGGGCTTTGTAGGTGCTCTAACACCACCGAGGCAAACAAAGAAGCAAGTAGCACAACTGGACTGTGACATCAGTCCATGGGGACAGGAGAAAGTATATACCAGAGAACTGCTAGATCCTACTGTGAAGAGCATGGTGGACTCTTAGCCTCATCTTCTGCTCCTGGTCACAGTTCTCACCTGTGGTACCATGCAGGAGACAGCAACCTTGTGTAGCATGTTCAGTTTAGATGTTGTGATGATGGACATTCTAACAGTGCAAGGAGGGAGGGCAGGGAAAAGGGCATGCACAGTGCAGATAAACTAGCAGTAACAAGTGCACTGGGAGAACTTGTGGAGGAGAAGCAGGAAGGCAGACAGAACAGTTGATGGAAAAAATAAATCAGGTGAACTCAATGTAACACAGATGTCACTAGTGCAAAAGAAATAATGAATGGCAGCCACGTGACCCCAGCCATGTAAGAACTATCACAATAGAAAAAGAGATGGCTTCTACCAGTAGAAGAAATTAATGACTTTATCCTCTGAAACATTACATCCACCAAAAGAAATGACATTACTTCAGGTTTTTCTACATGCTTTTCTCTCCCCTGCAGAATTTAATTATCACTTTTCTTAGCAATTTTTTTTTAAGATAACAGACAATCATTGATCTATCCTATGGGTAGTAGTAAATGCCATTTGCAAGGAAAAAAACAAATGCCTCAGGCAAGTTAATCTCCTAACTTTGAGCTTACTTCCAAATGTTACTCTACTAAAGAGAGGTTCCAGCTGAAGACATCAGTGCAACCTGTACAGCCAGCCGTAGACCAGAATCCAGAAATGTAACAGAAAGAAGTCACCTTTTTAAAGTTGCTCTTTCTTCTGCTTATTTCATTCCTCATCATCTCCAACTACTTCTTCCTTTATATTCACCTAATATTTTTCTAGCAACATTGCTGTAATGATTTAAACAATCTTTCAGAGCTACAGAATGTGAGGCTCACACATTATATTAAGCCTACTACTTCATTTTTTCTTATCTTTTGTAATCTGCTCTGAATAAGATAAACACCAACCAAGTTTCCATTTTTATGATGGTTGTATCGCTCTGCCATTTTCAGTCTATCCCTACATATATCTAATAAGTAGACCTGATTAAAAAAAGTAACAAAGCAGACTAAAAAGAGGGGACATCACAACACAGACCTCAGAAAAAAAGTTATGTACTACACCTTCCACAAGTTCACAGTATTACAAAGCTTTTCTGAATCTTCACAGAGATTATCTAGAACACATCATATTCTGGGATTTGAGCTCCAAAAAAAAGATGCACTTTAAGAAGTTAATGCATCAGGATACCAACAAATTTGTTTCACACATCCAGTTAGCTAAAAGCTGTTCAATAAAGCCAGATATTAACATGCTGCCTGGAAAGTCTTGCTGGAGCTTTGTAATGATTTGGAAAAGGAGTTATTCCATGTACAAAGTGGAGGCTTCACTGGTGTAGTTAATTCAAGGAATTGGAAGTCACTGAGCATTCAGGTATAAAAGAGCAGGAGATGATCAAGAGATACAAAATGCATTCTTCATATAAGTAACACACACCAATTCCTGTAAGAACCTAAGCAAGATTAATCTTCAATTTACACCTGAAAAAGCCCTGAGGACCAGCACAGATTAAAAAAAACCCCAAACCCCTTTCTACCCTTCCTCTTCCAAACATGAGAAACCTTTTTTAAAAAGTCCTTCCTAAAAAAACGGATTGGAGTGTGCTACACTGTACCCAGACATTCTTTTGCCAATGCCGTCCCTTTGATTTCATAGATCTCTCTCCCACCAAACAATCCTAGGGATTTTAAGGCACCACCATATTTGTTTTTAGCCCTACATTCAGCTAAAAATGAAAATGTTTCTCAGATTTAATGGATGCCCCTGTCCTCTGATCCCTGTGTAGCACTTCTACAAAGCTGAAACGCACTCAAAATGTTATCATATATAACTTAACATTTTATGTAAGAAAAAAGTATACATACACTCAAGGTTTTACACAGTAACCCATGTCAAAGTCACCTTTATACTGTGCAGTGACATTAAGAGTTAATGTCTCTCCTGTTAAGTACTAAAGCATTGCCTGCCTTTATCACATTCAAGAAACTTGAGTGATCAATAATTCCTCCTTGTCAGTCATTTCTAGCTACAAGAGCCCCACATTAGGGAACAAAAAAGTCCCATGTTTTTGTTGCATAAATTCACAGTTTTGCATTCTGTTCTCATGCATTATGCCCACCAATTCAGTCACAGTTACAGAATACCACACCATTTCCTCCTGTGCAATATTCAAATCCTGTTCAGCACTAACTTTGTTTTTCCCAGAAGAAAAATGATCACTGCTATTATCACACTGTGGTTTATAGTTGCATAAAAAGTAATCATTGTAAGAAATATTAAAATCTAAATATAAACCTGCTACTCACCCGAGCACAAGCAAAGGAAATTTTTGCAAGTCTTCGGACATATGTCTGAGAAGAGCTGAAACATAATTCGACCAACTAGAAGAGTAAAAAATAATAATAAAGAGTTTTAGAACTCCTTCTAATGAGAAAATAAAACAGCATACTTTGAAAATATGAGAAAAAGTTAGTTCATCCAGCAGAATAAGAAAACATATCAAATATTCACATTAAAATGAGTGGCATGAAAGAACAACACAGTTGTAAAAAAATTAAGTAATATCATCACATCTAATTTATTAAAAATCATAATTATTTCATTTTTATTTGAACCTGGAAAGCCAAAGTGATTCATTAAAATAGTCTGTCCCGTCAATTAATTTCTGTTTTGAAAAATATTTTCCATAAACACAGGTCCTCAGAGAGCTGGAGTAATTCTGTCCCCATGTACTATGCTTATACAAATACACGAATAATTACATTTTCACAGTCTTCCCTGTGATAATTACCTAAAAAGTCCAACTGAAACACTTCCATATTGTGACAAGGACTGCAGATATATTTGCGCTCTTGGCTTAAAATCCCTCAGGTTTGTTTTTTTTTAAAAAATTTGCTTTTTGTTTTTAACTGAACCAAATAGGAAGGATGACAGGCAGGCAGGACAATACCAACAATTTCAGGATTCACGTTCCACTTGCCAGATACTATGAAGCAAATACTATTTTCTCTCTATGCAAAGTGAACAGAGGGATTTTCACTCCGTACTCCCATGCTGTTGGTGGTAGTTATGCTATGTACCCTGAAAAACTGTTAAAATACTGCTGGAGAGGGGTTTAATATAAAGCAAAACTACTTTAGAAGCAATTCACATTTTCTATTTTATTTTCCAAGCTACTGGGATGTGTATTACTAAAGAAAACAACAACAACAACACAAACCTCCTAAGTACATGAAATCTTAAAAAACCCCCCATAATTAGCAAATAAAAAAGTTGTTATCTCTATAGACTGTGCTATTAACCATAAAAGCCACAGTTCTGGCCAGGATTACAAGACTAGTAACAATCTATCAATTAACACTACCCTCTAGTGGTGTACACCAGAAAGATTTCAATGATAATGGAAAAAAGTACTTCAGGAATTACTTCTTTTCCTTCCTTTAAAGGAAAAAAAACCCAACAACAAATAACTAACCGAATTTCAAATTTATTTGATTCAATACTTCATCACCAAGGAAAATTCTGAGAGGTTCCTAAGAAGTTCAATTTTAGGGCTTTGTCCAAAGGTATACAGTTGAGAGTAAGGTGAATTGTTGGTTCAAAAAGGGGGGAAATAAATAAGAGACCACCTGTACTTCATACTCATAGATAAAAAACCAAGATGCCTTCAGCTGTTAAAATGTCTGCATTTCACTAGCTGCAGTAAGAATGTTCCCTGAGCATTCCTCATTGTAACAGGAAAATCTGAAGAAAATGGGTAGGAACAGTCTTTAAAGAATGAAGAAATAGCAAATATTAAAAAAAAAAAAAATCCTGTATTAAACAGTGGCAGATGTACCACTGTGAAAAGCTCTTTGGAAGAGAACACACCATTATAAGCTACGTGGACTGAAGATTCATGCAGAGAACATAGTAGAGAAGAAGCTTTTTAAGAGAGTTACCAATTTTTGTTATAAACAGTAATTCAGGAGAGCAGAGACTCATTCCTCTGCTCACAAAGGCACTGAACTGAGCAGCAGTGACTAAGTGCTTGAGAAAGCCATGTACAGATTTAATAGCATTCACTATGTGAAATAGCACATAGTGCCTCTCAGATAAAAAGGTGTCACCATCTTCACTCTCCCAAGAGCAGAGTCATCCAGCCCAGCTGCTGATCTACCAGGGTGACAGGTGCCAAAGAACTAATAGGTGTCACTGCCTGCAGGCTCCAGAAGGGACTTTTCCCCTCAGCCATAAATTGCAGAAGTCTGGATCCAAGTCCCTCTCCTACATATAAGCCCCACTACAGTCAACACCTTAAGTAGCAGACACCACTACCTCTTTTCTTGTGGAAGAATATCATCCTCAGTCCTTGAAGATTTCAAGGCATAACACAGAAAATATATTAATAAGTATGGCATCATGATCTACTTCAACAGCATATTTCACTAGTGTTTTCTCAATAATAATGTCTGCCAACTCCTATGAACTGTTTGTAATGCACATATCCCTGGATAAATGCACATTTCCCTGGAAGTCTCCAAGGCCAGGGTGGATGGGGCTTGGAGCAACCTGGTTTAGTGGGAGGTGTCCCTGCCCATCCATGGCATGGGGGTTGGAACTAGATGATCTTTAAGGTCCCTCCCAACCCAAACCATTCTATGATATCCAACATTGAGGCTACAAATCCAGTTTAAAAGGACATCTCTCCTCCATATAACCTAAAGTACTGTTTGCCCTATTATATCCAGCTATTTAAAATGATGCTGATCATTTAGAATTTACACAAACCACATTCTGTGCATCCACCTGGTGGGTTACTATCTGTATTTTATCTAAACTGCATGAAGGCCATTATCACTGAAAGGTTTTATTTTCCACTGACAAACAGCAAATTAAATGTACCAGAGAAAGATGAAACACATGTTCACACCTTGGTAAAATACTTAGGAAATAACAGCTATTAATAAAAAAACCCTGTATAAAAAGTATGCTTAGAACCTACAAATCTTTCTCATACCTCTTTCCTCAAGAAAAAAAGGAAGCATCTAATTTCAAACTTGGAGCTAAGGTATATGCTCTACATATACATACAACAAGCAATAAAAATACACATAACAGATTTAAAAAGCATTTGAGATGCTACTAATTTCTTCAGATTTAGACACCTCTTCTCTGTAATGATCCAACTTCACTCTATAGAGAAAATTTCCAATACTTTCTTTAGCTTCATTTCCGTGATACAAACATTAATTTTTCTGATTAGGCAACAAGATTTCTGGGATCAACTCTAAGATTGGAATAGTAAATTAAAACCAAAAAATTGCTAAGAAGAGTTACTTAAGGAGGTGAAGAAACCTACCCTGACTTCTCAACTGGCTTTAGCCAAGAAATCAGCCTGAAGAGATACATCACTTCTAGACTAAAGCAAAAAATGCTGGGATTATATTTTTAACAGAGAAACTCTTACACAACTTGAGATGCAAATCTTTCAGTATCACAAGGAAGCTATACAAGCTATTAAACTATTTTAATGCATCAGCAGGCAGGAAATTTCTGTGATTTGAGTGTTGTTCTCAATATAAGACTGATTCTTACCAACTCATAGCTGTGGGGACATGTCTGTACCACAGTGTAGATTTTACAGCTCATTACTGTACTTTCTGTGCTAGCTAACACCATGGAGAGTTACTCAATCATAACATAACATTTTACTGTTTGTAAAACAGAACTTTGATCAAGTATTCTTATTTGTTAGCAAGCTTTTAACTTAAAATATCTTTTTTGTTAGAAGAGGTGAAAGAAGTATTTACATTCCTGGTAATCACTTAGAGTATGTGATACATATTTCAAGTCTAAGATGTTTCGAAGTTTGATTTCACAAAGTGCTATCTGTAGCTAATGAGCCATGCAAGTTATAGAAACCAGAAGGCATAATGACCAGAAAGAATCCAATTTCAGAACTCCATTTTCAAATTGAAAGACTACAACTTTTTTCCCTTTTGTTTTTCAACCTGTGATCAATTTTTCAGCTGAGAAAGAACTAGGACTTGATTCCAATTAAGCAGTAAAAATTCAAGGGAGGAATATCCATGCTACACTGTAATAAGGCCTTCTGCTAGCAAAGTTTATTAAAAAGATCATTGATTTGAAGTGTTTATCCAATAATATCTTCTAATTTAGCTGCTTAAGTGATGAGAAACAACCTCAGGCATCAAATACGTATTGCTTAAATGTGTTTTCCACATAACACAAACTATTTTGCTAGATCATGCCATAAAGCTGCTAATTTCAGATAGACACTCCCAAAATAAACCTAGCTTTTTAAAATTAAATATACTGGTTTTTCTTTTCCCCAATCTCCTGGAGCAAACCAAGTAGGATGCCACTGCAGCACTTTTTTCAGTCAAAAAACAGGGATATCCTGCTGA